TAATGAAATTTGAATCAAGTGTAGGCCTATGTCTTCTTTCTGAACATTTATTTATATTGTCTAAATTTGCAAACAGTTCGAGTGTAAAATGTGTTTTGCACAATGTATTTACACTCTACAGATTCTTGAGTTTACTCATCTCCTGGTGCTGTCGTTGTAAAAAATGTTCAATCCCTTATTGTTTTGTACCAGTTTTCCAAAATCCGTTATAATTAATATACTGGGAACGTGCTTCCCGTCTTCAATACCGGCCAGCAATGTAATGATTAAACTCTAAGCTCGCATAAGTTTCAAGGGTGTGATACCCCCTTTCAGCCACTAGATGGCAGCAGCAGAAGTTTCAAGGGTGTGATACCCCCTTTCAGCCACTAGATGGCAGCAGCAGAAGTTTCCAGACTAAGGGAAACGCTCTACCTTGGTTTAATATATAACAGACCTCTGGCTTTAAGCTTTTAGCATTGGTCTGTTATTTAAACCCCAGTTTTAAACGGCGACTCGATCTGATTTATCGAGTTTCCAGGTTTTGTCGTGCAGGAATCAAACCTCGCATAACAAACTGCACCATCTCTACGCCACTCAGGAATAATCTACCTGCAGATCCACGCCAAACTGCTCTATTTTACGTCACGCAGGACTTTCGTCTACCTGTCGATCAACGTTTACGTTTTGTATATAACTTTCCTAACATAGTAAAATATGCATTGTATATTCCATTTAAACTATAAAAACACTGTGAAATGCCTACAGACAATCCTAAAGTTTTAGCGTATCCAATTACAGACAGGCGACTTTCATCGTCTGCTTACCTTATTTGCAAAGTTGCAGAGTCCTGCTGATTGTCTGAGATGTTTGAAAGCGTCTGAATTCTTCCTCAGCTTCGTTATCTCTAGACGTCGGGTCACCATTTTGTTAGAGATTTGGAGGGATAACTGGTCCGCTTTTCAAATCTCCGCGCGTTCCTATGAAGCTGTTTATAATACAGGAAGGAATCCATATCTACAAAGTAACAGTTAACAATAATCTACTTTAATGGCAATATGACAATGCAATACAATCATTACAATACAACATGATATATTACAGTTATATTGTAATGCTTAAGGAGTAATACCGGCTTACTCCTGCCCTGGTTCGCATACTGCAGAGCTACTTTCACCCGAGGGCAGCATGTGAAGAAGAGACCGAACGCCAGGGATCCTCCGGATATATACCAGAGTAAGAAGGAGGGGTTTGGTGTTAGGTCAGCTGGTCATCTTTTCAGGTCATCTCATTGGGAGACGCAACTCTGGCCAGCAGGAAACCAAACAGGCTCACTTTACAACAAAAGGTCTCAAGGCCTGCATACCTACACCTCCCCCACAGAGCAATAAAACCCTGTTTACTCCAACCAGCCCAGAATGTTTATAGCCATTTGTAGTCCTTACATTTATGAAAGGATAAAACAGAGAAATCAATATAAAACACAAACACAGGTATTATTTGAACAGTATTCACTTAACTGCTACTATTGATAAGCACCAGAGAAACCCAAGGGACCTCTCTTAATATCACAACCACTGTAGCTTGTTCTAAGTTGAATGCAAATCAGGACATGCTCTCACCTTCCCCCATCTTCCTTTGTCCTCAAAAACACATGTCAACAGGCCCCAAATGCAGCTCACAGTTTTACCCAAATTATTCTCATTTTAAGCTTATCCATAGTTTGCTAACATGAATAAATACAAATATAACTCTACAATGTCTAGACAGGATATCATTTATACATAAAAACTCCTTTACTTGTTCACTCACAAGTCGTTCGAGCACATTAGCCAGAACTGACAATTTGGAGATTGGCCTAAAGTTATTTAAAATAGCTGCCTCCCCTCCTTTTAGTAAAGGCAAGACATAAGCAGACTTCCATACTTTGGAATTGTATTTGTGCTGAGGGAGAGGTTAAAAAGAGAAGTAAGAGGTGGAGCAATACAATCTGCAGCTAACTTTAAAAAGAAAGGTTCTAAGTTGTCCGGGCCAGCCGGTTTCCTAGGATCTAACTTGGATAATGCTTCATGAACAATACCAATAGTTAAAGGAGTAAAACTGAAAGGGTTTTCCAGACCACATTGTTCAGAGTCAAGGATTGGAGCGTTCACAGAAGCAGAAGTACAGTCAGTGACAGAATCAAATAGAGAGCCACAAGACACAAAATGCTTATTAAAGCAATTTAGCATAGTAGCCCTGTCTGATATAATGCCAGATGCTGTGGTGAGGCACGGAGGTAGCTCATTTGGGATATCACCAGTGGAAATCGATTTTATGGCTTTCCAAAATTTCCTAGGATTATTCAGGTTTTCTGTGGTAACTGACAAATAGTATTTTGATTTAGCGCTTTTTATTTGAGATGTGAAGCTATTTCTTAGCTGTCTAAAGCGTAGCCATTCTACCTCTGAGCCTGATTTCCTAGCCTTAGCCCAAGCATTATTTCTCTCATGAAGTAGACTGGACAGCTCAGCAGAAATCCAGGGATTGTTTCGTCCCTTCACTCTAAATTTACACAGAGGTGCATGTCTATCTATAATTTCCATAAAACCAAGATAAAAATAAGACCATGCAGTTTCTACATCAGCACACAGATTGATTTTACCCCAATCAAAATCAAACAGATCATGTAAAAAACCCTGCTCCACAAAGTGTTTTTTGTCTCTCTTTGTGATGATACGTGGTTTAACCTTTTGGACCTTAGTGTCCCTAATTGTGGCTACAACACAGTGGTCACTCACATCATTAGCAAATACTCCCACAGATGAGTATTTATGTGGAACATTTGTTAAAATCAGATCAATTAAGGAGGATTTATTTGGGGACTTAATATTTGGGCGAGTAGGACTGTCTATAATCTGAGTAATGTTCAAAGAGGTACACAGGTTTTTAAAGTCCTCTGACACAGAAGTTAACCAGTCCCAATTAAAATCACCAAGCAGCACTATTTCCTTGTAGGAAAGTTGTGATAACAGTTTTGTCAATGACGATAAAGAGTCCTTGACAGCCGAGGGGGCCCTGTAGCAGCCCACCACCATGACCTGTTGACCCTTTGTTACCTCAATATTCACGGCTAAAAATTCTAGCTGTTTACTAACAGATTTGGAAACCATATTAGTTACACAAAACTTATTTTTCACATAAATGGCAACGCCACCACCTTTTTTAGGCCGGTCAGTATGATATACACTGTAACCATTTATGTAAATGTCAGAGGCCAAAATGGATTTATCTAGCCACGTTTCTGATAAGACAATGACATCAGCATCAGTCGAACTCGCCCAAATACGGACAAAATCTAATTTAGGTAACAGACTACGCACATTTAAATGAATTAAACCTAGCCCAGATCTAGATATAAAATCATCATGTCATCAGAGATATCGTTGGAAAGCTGTGTCTCTCCTGCACAATCTCATCAGATCCAAATATGGTCATTTCCTTTGTATCAGCAACCAATCGTGAAAGCACAAAGGGGTCTTAAACCAAGAAACGAAATCTCATTGGCTGGTGTCAATTTCTGACAACGTGATTCGTTCAGATGCGTCACGTGGTGTGCTAAAACACTTCCTGGTTAGCTTTCCGCTAGAAATTGAAATCTCAAAATGGCAAAAGAACGGCGAAAAAAACATTCACAGAGAAGACGACAACAATTGTCACTTGCACGAAGCAAGGTTATACAAAAAACAAATGACCCCGAACATGAAATACCTTCACGGAGTGCGTCGATACGCAAGCTGTCATCCAAAGAACAGGAGGGTTTAGCTAGCGCCTCACTGCAATCTTTAAAGGTCGTTTTCTCAAAATGAGTTTTTTCTCCTACTCTGAGTTCGAAATTTCAACTTCAGTAGCACGTACATACACCAAACCTTCCAGTTATATTCCTATCAATATTATGAAGGCTTTTACAGAAGGGTTTGTTCATATATCATTCATAGCCTGAATTATACAACATTGTATACCTAAAAACATGGCGAAAATTGATATTTTAGGGCTGTTGACAGTATTTTCTGATTTATGGAGTGATAAAAGAGATATCCAATATCCCTTCAGTAAAAGCCTTAGATACTAATATGACTACAAAATGAAACAATAATTTTTAACCTGGCTTTATCCAAAATTCAGATTTCGATTCCTGAAATGTGTTAAAATATGTGCATATTTAATGAGATAATGGATAATTTGCATATTTAAACATGCTATTTCAGAAAACTTGTAATACAAAAAACAATTGCCTTATTGTAAGTAATTAACTGGAGACATTTCTAGCTGATACTTTTAAGTTAAAAAAATTACCCTATTCACCTGGGGTGTCTCGCCTTAAATCAGTAGGTTTCGGTGTGCATCACTCCATGTCATTTCGCTGCTAAATTCACATCTATAGGAAATGATATATTAGCCACATGCTAAATGCTAACCGGAGATGAAGGATTTTCAGAATAAAAGCTTGGTATTGAGAACTTCCGTTTTTTTCCAGAATAAAATAGCATTTAAACTGACGGTATGTTTAAGCTACTTTATGCTATCAAACATTGATTTTAATTTCTAACACCCTATAGAGGTGAATATAGAAGTGAAATGACACGGAGTGTTGCACACCGAAACCTACTGATTTTAACACTACAACTATAGACGTCGAGATATTATTATTGCTGAATATTAAATGAAGGTACAGTTTATTTTAATACGTTTTGTTTACAGACGTGAGTTGGTATGACAACATCCGGAACTACCGTAAATGATAACTGTCGTAAAGTATTTCCAGTATTATTAAAGTATTGAAGCCGTTAAAATGCAATAAATGAAAAGTGATGAAAGAGAATAGGTGTGTTTAGTTATGAATTGAATGTACAATGGCTGAGTCCTCTGTTATGCGCAACAACGGACATGGAAGACGATTGGAGGGCCGGCCCCCAGCAGCGCCAACCGGCATACAAGGAGGAGCCATCGGAGAATATTTAAACAGCTGAAGTGCTGTTTCTCGCTCTCTTTTCCTTCACCCCCGGCAACCCGAGAACACAACCATAGAGGCTTCTCAATACTCAAATGTCCCCTCCTCGACTCCTCGGTCCTCCGGTAGTGACCCGGAAATGAATTTCAGCGCGCCATTTTGAAGGACATCTCATTTCTCGAAATGCACACCGAGGATCGAGCGTCGAGGAGGCTCTCTGGAGGAGCTATAACCGAGGATACACTGATGGTTCCTCCACGGCTCCTCCGCGGATGCATTTCCGGGAACGGTGGAGTATAAAAGAGGCGTGACACACCGCTGGATTCATTTAAAAACCATGGCGGGAGCAAAGCACACGTGTAAGTGTTGACAATGATACGTTGCATTAGTTATTTAAGAAGTGAAATGCGCGATCAAACTCCGCCCGTCTGTATGCAGTTAGAGCCTTCTAACCACATTCCTTATTGACATTTCACCTGATATTCTTTATGTTTGTATCCACATTTTAACTACACCCAATCCTGCTACAGCATGCTATGTTTAAAAGGGCAAACGTTTATTTATTTTTAAGAGTATTAATCAACACGAACTTTGTTTAGCATTCAGCACTATCATTTGATTTGGGCTATGTTGTTATATACACTAGAATCAATTGCTCATTACAGAGTCGGTAAATCTTCCAACAGTTTTAAGCTACACCTTTTTACTTTGTCTTTTCACAGGGACAGAGGAGGAAACACTGACCCTTATTAAAGTGAGGGTCGAGAATGACGAGCTTTTCACAGGCCGAAGGCACACTGCCAAGAAAGCCTGGGAGTGAGTGACATTTTCCTGGTTGGGAACATCTGATCCTTAGCATTTACGTATTGGTGGTTACAATTTGTATTTTCATATTGTCTGCTGAACCTGTGAGTTTAAATATCGATTGCTTTGATATATGCACCTGTTGCTGCAGACCTTATTAATTGCTGACCAGCTTGAAACCTCTCTTGTATCACGCAGGGAAATTCTAAACAACATCTGTCCAGGGACTACAGACGAAAAATAGCCTGTTGGCTAACTCTGGCGCATTTACAGAAATGTCAATCAATGTGCACTGTCCCTGCCAAATAAATATATAAATAAATAAATAAATAAAGGCCCTTGGGCTATTCGGTTCTGTAAGCCCCACACAGATCAGCAAAAAGTGGGACAACTTGAAACGAAAATACAAGGTAATTATGTTGTCATTTTTTCGTTTACTCTTGTGTGTCTGTAACCATGGTTGTGTCTGCTCAGCATGCTGATGTATAACTTTACTTCTTGTTTTTGTAGGAGTTGAGATGCCCCCCAACTGGGACAGGGACCGACAGGGGAGAGGCCACAGCAGCCACATGGCCATATTTTACGGCCATGCATGAGGCCATCGATGGGAGGCCATCCATCGACCCTCCCACCCTGATGGACTCGGCTGCTGTTGCTTCTGGCAGTGGCTCAACATCCACTGAGGCTGTCCAGAGCCAGGCCACAGTGGAGGATGAGGAGGCCGCCAAGTCTGGCTCGGACAGCCAGGAGGATGTTGAGCCATCCACCTCTGCCGGTCCCCCTCCCCGAAAAAAAAGAAAACGCAGTTTATTGCAGTTCCTGGAGGCGGAGGCGGCCAACGAGGGGGACCGCTTCAACCGCCAGCAGGCAGCCAGTGAGGAAACCTCCAAAAGATTCCTCGACTTATTTGAAGCGTTAGTTCGAAAAGAATAGTTTCCGTTCTTTGTTTTTCGTTTGGTTTGGATTTGTTATATTGTTTTGTGTGAAGTTTATGAAAATATTTAAGTTTGGAATACAAATTAAGTTTGTCGTTAAATCCAGAACAAAAACCAACCCATGTTTACTGAAAATATACAAGGACATCTTTATTTTATACAAAGCTCAATATGTTATGATTGTGACATGACTAAAAAGCCAACGTTTTTAAACTCATTGTGCAACCCAAGGTATACTGAAACTCATAATGACCACTTTAATTTCTGAATTGTAAATCTCCTCCTCAAATAATTCTGCGCCTAAACCAACCGTGTGTAAATTATCCAAATGCAATATCAGGGATGTTTTATTAATAAATCAATACAAATTTAGTCAAGTTACTGCATCGTTCAAGCCCTATAAGTAGCTACAATTACTAACACATGTATCTTCTTTCTTTTAAAGTTCAGTCAAAGCATACCAATATTTTATCACTGAACATGACTCGATTTCAACACTAAACGTAACACTTTCAGACGAAATTCTGTGATGGCCTATTTCACATCGCATACAATTTGTAATAAAGACATGTGTCTGTAAAGTCCTTTGCTCTAAATAAACGTGAGCAAGGTGACATTGGAAACAAGGCTTATACATGGCACAAACAAAAGAACAGAGAAATGCATCTGGCCAGTAAATGCATTTTTAACCTGTCAACAAAACTAATGGGTAACAAAAAAACTGGCCAAAAATATATATCCTCTCAGCAGTAATCGTGGTCCTGCAGCTGGACTGGGTTGTGGTCAGGAGCCAATATTTGGTCTGTCTCTCCGGCCCTGTCCACCTCGCTCCCCCCTCACAGGACGAGGTGGAGACCTCTCTACCCCCTCCTGCTCCTCCTCCTCCAACAGTTCAAGAATGTCTCCTGCAGTAAGGCAGATGTTGTGTAGGACACAGCAGGCAGTGACCACAGCAGGGACAAAGTTATGGTTGACCTCCAAGGCCTTCGACAGGAGGCACCTCCATCGCACCTTCAGTTTCCCGAAAGCGCGCTCTATTATGCTGCGTGCTTTTGCATGGCAGCCGTTGAATCGGCTCTGTACCCTCCCCTGCAGTGGCTCCCGATACGGGGTTACGATCACTATAGGGTGTACAATGCAGGGGTAGCCACCATCCCCCACAATGAAGTACCCTGGAAGAGGATAAAGAGCCTCTTTATAGAGGGCACTGTGCTTCATGACACGGGTGTCGTGGACTGAGCCCGGAAATCCTACAAATGTTTGTAGGAATCTCCCCTTCCCATCGCATACAGCCTGCAGCTGTATGGATGGGAAGAGCTTCCTATTCACGTAATCCTGGCCAGTGGGTCCGGATGGGGTCCTGATCAAGGGCGCCGGAAGCGGGGGGGCCAGGGGGCCATTGGCCTCCCCCACTTTGCGGCTCTGCCCCACATTTTCGCAGCAGCGGATGCCGCGGAACACTGTACACATCCCGTTTCAATAATTCCCCTCTACTCTAAAGTCGCATCTAAAAAGAACGCCATCTGATCTAGCTGTGTATATTTTGTTATTTTTGATTGTTATATTCAATCTCATTAGCTACAGGCATTTTTGAAGCTTGTAAAGGGAAGAACACAGGTCGCCTCTCACTCGCCACTCTGCTCTTCCGCAGCGCCGCTTCCCCTCCCTCCGCTGACATTATGAATGTTAGGCATAGTAAACATAGATAACACCGCAGGGTCCGTTACAGTTTGTTTTCATCTGATTTCAAATAAACAAAGTCTTGGCTTTCAGAATATTAAACTTGTTTCGGCAAATTCAGATGATAAATACAGCTTTAAAGCTTTTAACGGCATAATTACAAGCGGAGAACGGAGTAACTTGACGTCACAGCAAGCATAACAACAGCCGGTGTTTCTCCTGAGAGTTTTCCCCGGGAAAAAAACGCAAAAATACACAAACACACACACACTCGCGAGCTTCCCCCAGACCAGTAATCCAAACGAAAATATCTTCCCACCGTAGTATTTCAGATCGATCCAGAGAAGAGGAAACTTTTAAGGCCTTTTTCTCAAAATGATGACTCGGTGACAGTCATTATATAATGTGACATATTTTGCTTAATATAGTACAAAAACAATCCTGATATCATTAGAAAGCTAGGAATCTCCTCTTTCCAACAGTGTATACAACTCAAAATGTGTCTTCGGATCAATGCGACTGATTTCGATGGAGCAGCAGGTCACTTTGCATTAGGTAAAATACAGCAGGCAGACATAACAGGAAGAATATGTACATTTTAATCCAATCAAATAGGACATTGTCACACCATTCAAATGTATCCATGTACATTACAACCAATAACAAAGCTTAGATGTGTTTATTTGTTACGTTGTTTACGTTATGTGTTACGTTGTTCAGTGTGTGTCAGCCGTTAACCTAGATAGATAAACTTGCAAACATGTCAGAAGAACCGGCGCATAAGAAAACTAAATACAGTCAAACTAAGCTAAAATTCAACAACTTGAATGTCACATCCCTGACATCCACACTCCGGAGCCTGGTCCTTCAAACATAGAACCAGTGCAGCCAGATGAACCCCAGTAGCAGCTCTGCGGCCGCAGAGGCTGTCAAAACCGCCGCCGCCGGCATCGTTGAACCGAAACAGGCTGGTTTCGACTGCATGGAGGTTTGTTGTCGGGACATTGTGACGGGCAAATAAAAGCTTATTTGGGCAAAGAGAAAGTTACTTCAATGCAGAATGGTACAAAAACAGAGAGTGGTTAATTATTTGCAAAACCACTAAACGAGCCTTCTGTGAAATATGCAGATGTGCTGCTGTCAAACGGCTTGTAACTTTCTCCAAATGTGGAGATAACAGCTTTGTAAATACCGAGTTAATAACTGGAGCTTTTCACAGAGCTTACTTCAGTCAAACACCAGTCAACATTCAGCTTGTCAAACAAGAGAGTAGCAGGAAAAAAGAAGAGATGGAATGAGCAACTGCGCTGTCATATGTGTGGGCTGGTCTGTATAGTTTAATTTACAGGAAAGGAGTGAGCAGAGGGTTGAGTTGTCCATTCTTGTTCTGTTTTCTCTGACTATCTTCCTCCTGAAGACCCTCTCAGACTTTAATTTGCTCGCGCTACTAAAGAGACACGTTACCATGGAAACCAAACAATGGTGTAGCTGTATTGAAGTCCGAGTGGAAACGGTAACATTTGGTGCGTTATGTTAGAATGAAACAAATCAGATTTAGTCAGAAATCGGGAAAAATGCGGGAGAGATATGACCCCGGGAGGAAAACGGGAGTCTCCCGCGAAAATCGGGAGGGTTGGCAAGTAGGCTATGTCACATACACACGCACTTTTTGGCCCCCCCACTTCTGAAATGAATCCGGCGCCGCTGGTCCTGATGCGTATGTGGCACCCGTCTATTGCACCCACACAGGAACTGAATGCCGGGCTGTTGGCCAACTACTGTAAGCCCTGCCCGACCTCCTCCAGCTCTGGACCAGCAGGCAGCTTGATGAGGGAATGCCGGAGAGCAGCGATGTCCTCCACTCCCTGGTGGACCAGTCTGTGGACCGTGGAGAGGGGTACCTGAAAGGCCCGGGACAACACACTGTATGACAAACCGTGTGCCAGCCAGTACACGGTCGTCAAGACAGTCATGTGGTGTCATCCTGAAGTCCTTCAGCAGGCACCCATCACCCTCGAAGTACAGTTTAAGCACTGGGACACTGCTGTTCAAACGTTTGTACATGCTGGGAGAGTGTGGGTGCTGAACCTACAGGAAGAATAACATGTACAGAGGTCAATACCTTTATCCAGCAAACTAAACTCCTTTATCCCGCAATTTAAACTGCACATAAATATTCTGTCATAAGGAATAAAGCCATGGCTAAATCTGGCACATTTGATGGTCTCAAGTGCTCGTGTTAACTAATGTGCATGGTCCCTTCTTGAATAAATACAACTACATCATCCAAAACACAACTGTCTCTTTGACAAACATGCTTTTTCTCTGACTCTCTGGCTTAGGCCTATATGTGTCATGATTGTCTTGCTACAAGTAGTTGGTAATTTTTGTATTCCAATGAAAAAAGCCAGCTATTTTTCAACCATTTCAAACATTTGTAAACAAACACTCATAAATACCTCAAGATGAAGCAGGATGGCATTGCGCATTCTCGCTTTCCAGCGCTGGGAACGGCGTCTTTCCTCACGGTATTTTGTTTTCTGTAGCTTGTGCCACTGCCATAAGGCACACAGTATTGCAGTCTTCATTCTCAATATTGAGAATATAAATCAGAGGTGTGCCTGGACCTTATATAGCCTGTCAGGTCCCTCATGATTTGGTAATTGATTAGAAATTTGGTGCAGGTGTTTTGTCAAAGATGTGTGACTTGATGACTTATCATGTCATTAAGCCTATACTAGTTTAAAAAGGTAAACATACTGTGTATAGTGTATAGACAGTCATTGGGTTTTTTAGGCGTTTGTGTGTGTGCATGTGTAAATATATCAAACATATATAGCACTTTGAGTATTTTCATACTAATATTTTAGTGCGCCACAATACAGAAGAGATGCAGGCCTATGTGTTACATTATACATATTCATACATTCTTGACATACTATGCCTTGTTGCAAATTGAATTAAAAGTAAATATGTGGGGGAACAATGTTCAGCTGATCTAACAGAGATTATAAAATACAGCGCTATGACAAAACACTCGACAGCTGATGCAGCTGTTGCCACGTAATAATGAACGGACGTCGCTTTAATATGACCGCTCAGAGGAGAGGAGTTCTCATTTCTTTAAACGTCTGCTGCTTCCCCTCCTCTCTCCTCGGTCCCCCTCCTCGGTC